ATATTAGCAATATGATAATAATGAATATAATAGTAATGCTAATGATTGTTATCAGTATTGTGTTGTTGCTTTCATTGTTATTATTGCTATTATTATCATTATTATTGTTATAATTATTATTATCACTATTTTATTAATATATTATTATCATTATTTTTATTATAATTATTATTACCATCGTTACCATTATTGTTGATATTATTGTTTCTGTTATCCTTATCATTACCATTATTATGATTATTATCATTAGTACCACATACTAATTTTGGCAATAATAGGTTGATGATTAGGAAATAGATAGAATTGTGTTTTAGAAATAGTTGGAGCGGCGTAGACTGAAACAGATAGACTGAAAAGAATATAAATTAACAGATTTTGAAACAATCAGAGGCACATTCATCGTTTTCAGAAGAAGGATTGCGCCTGTGATAACTAGGTAAGGATCCCCGATTTTTCCATGAGAATTTTCAGAATTTCAAATTCAATGAGATTTTTTCCAGATTTTTTTTTCTTCAGAGTGTATGAATCATGGCTCGTTAGTTTACCTTCGTGTTTGACCAATAACTCGCACAAATCGCTGGTGAACTGTTCAGAATTCAGCTGAGGAGCAATTTATCTTTACAAATGGAACCTAACCCTTTATATCCAGGGTGGTTTAACCGGTTGAATACAGTGGTTTTGAATGAATAAAGTAAAATTTTGATATCGTGTTTATAAGTAGATACTTTGGCTTGGAGAAGGATGCAGTAGATAAGTGGATGACTGTGGTGGAGTGCTAGTAGATAATGTGGATTATTGTGACGTTGTAAATAAAAGTGAGAGAGAGAGAGGGGAGAGTGGATTTAAAATATGTGTTTATAAGTACTTGGCTTGGAATAGATGCAGTAGATAAGTGGATGACTGCGGTGGAGTTCTAGTAGATAAATTGAAATAAAGTGAGAGAGAGGAGAGGAGGGAAGAAGGGGAGACATGAGGGGAAGAGAATGAAGGGGGAAGGAGATAATGTGGATTGTGAGTGAAGAAAATAGTCTTGATATCGTGTTTATAAGTAAATACTCTGGCTGGATGCAATGGATAAGTGATGCTGTGGAGTTCTAGTAGATAATGTGGATTGTTGTGAAGTTGTAAATAAAAGTGACAGCGTTGCTAGCAGTAAAAGGAGAAGGGCAGACGGGAAGAAACAACGAGGGATAAGAGAAGGGTGAAAAATGATACGGAGAAAAAGAAGAAGAAGAAGAAGAAGAAGAAGAAAGAAAGGGTAGTAAAAAAAATCAAAAGAGGGAGAAGGAGTGTGATGAAGAAAATGGAAGCTAGGAAAGGGAAAGACAGAAAACAAGCTAAGAACAAGAGTACAAGAAAGAGGTAATTGAAA